TTATTGCAGAAGATCAAAGACTACAGCCTTATGAATTACATCTGCTGGCAAAGGTAAAGAATCAAAGAATGAGAGGCATCTCCTCAAAGTGAACTGACACAGTAATTACAACAAAGAGCTCATGTGTGGTGGAGATCGTGAAGATGGTGCTGGTTATTATGAGTTGTAGTGGCCTGGAGGGCATGTAATAATAACAATAATGAAATGTAGAAGTTACATCCACTTCCGAAATGGCTTGCCTCCGGAAACTATGTACGAACAGTGCTCAGGCCTTTCGTTCATAGGGTCGCCATGAGTTGTCTACGACTCGACGGCACCTAACAACAATAACAACGACGACAGAGAGCCACGTTGGCCTACTGGACAGAAAGTTATGTTACCAAGCCGAAGGTGGGTGATTTTAATCTGCGGCCCTTGGGCCGGGTTCAAATTGTTTTCCTGTCAAACATTCTTCTAAGTGGTATAGCACTGGTCTGTGCATTGCTGGACAGAGGTAACTCGTGGTTGTTGTGATGCTGAACACTGGTACACTGAGCTTCCTGACTAAAACAATCCTGGAAGCAGGAGTGGCATCCACTTCGGAAATGGCTTGCCTCTGGACAGAGCTCAGGGCTTTCATTCACAGGGTCGCTATGAGTTGTCTACGACTCAACAGCACCTAACAACACAACATCAAGAAGTTACAGAGTGATTGCTCACGATCTGATATACCAAACAGTCATAAAAAGGTTAATGGTGGAATGCAACACTCCTTAATCCGATCAGCCCTAATCTGACATAAAGGGAGTTCCCTAAAATGTGGCCTACAATACCTTTTCTTTCACCTGATGCAAACCCCATGTGCTAATCTCAAATCAGAGATTCTTTCTCCACATGGTCAGACCTGGGCTGAATTACTTTCAAACTTCCTCGTGGAATTAGTATAGGGAAGACATCAAAATGAGACAAAGACTTAATAGTTCCAAGGCAAAGGGGAATAATTACAGTTATTTACACGGTGAGCAAGCATTAGTGCCAAACCCAACTGTGTCTTTGTCTTCTGCCAAGAAAAATGCCCAGAGTTAGCCCAGAGTCTTGATCTGCTGTTGTGATGTCCAATAAAATACAATGTAAACATAAATGAGAGCCATATACGTCATCTTTATTTTTTTTTTTAAATACCCATATTTATTGGCTCTAGTGACTTAGTGGTAAGGAGCTGTGCTGTTAATCCAAAGGCATGCAGTTCGAATCCACCAGTTGCTCTGTGGAAGAAAGATAGGCAACTCCCTGTCAGCACCCTCTGAAAACCTGCTAGAGAGAGGGTCAGCTATGAGTCGATTCCAACTCGATGACACATAACAATAACAACATTTAAAAGGTAAAAAGAAAAAAGTGAAATTCATCTTAGCAATGTGTTTTATTTAACAAAATACACCTCAAATCTTGTTTCAGCATGTAATCACTATTTTAAAAAATTAAGGCGCTATTAGGAAGCACTGGTGGTCTAGTGGTGAGAAACTGAGCTGCAATATCAAAGGTATTCGGTTTGAATCCACCAATCAGCTGCTCCAGGGGAGAAATATGGGCAATCTCCTCCCGTGAGATTAAACAGCCTCTGAAAATCTGCTGGAGGGTCAACTATGGGTCAGTTCCAACTCAATGGCACAACAACAATGAGCTATATCATTCTTTTCTTTATACTAAGTCTTTAGAAATCCTGCATGCATATTTGTATTTGCAGTGTATCTCAGCTCAATCTAGTCACATCTCAAATCTTCAAGCATTGCAGGTGGTCTATGGCTGCTACAGTGGACAATACAGGTCGACTCTGAGTAGAATCATTTGGAAGTTCCAGGTCCAGGGTCTGTAGGTCATTGTAACCAATTGAAAAGAGACCAAGCACAGCCACTTGCCAACAGCCTTGAAACTGTATAGTCTAAAGACCCAATACCAGCGATAAATGCAGACTGACCACATTGGCCTGAGATCTATCTATGCAAAATTTATTGCACACAGGGATACATTAAATGTATAATCAGCAGAATTATTAATACAGAAACCAATACACCCAACAAACTGGATGCTCTGGTGGAGGAATGTGACCATAGAAGATGTTATTAACCCAGGGGTGAGCAGTTCGAATCCACCAGATGCTCTGCCAGAGAAGGAGGGACAATCTCCTCCTGTACCAGTCAGATCCGATTTGATGGTACACACACACACACATACACACACCACACACACACACACACAAGATGTTATTAAAACAATTGTTCAATCTGGAATACAAACTATTATATTTATATTCAGTAAAAATATTGCCTCAATGTTGTATCTCTTGGATACAATGACTGAATTATGATTTTATAAGTACATCTCTCATTATTAGCAAATTTACACAAAAATGCACAGGGATGTAGTAACAATGTTTGCAAGCTATTATCAGGAAAAAATGGACAGATGTGTGAGAGAGAAAAAGAGAAAGAGGAAGAGGGTGAAGAAGCAAATGAGATGAAATGTCAAAACAGGTGATTTTGTGTAAAGAGAACAATAAAACTTATTCTTGCTATTTTTCTATAAATGTAAAATTCTCAAGTAAAAAGGGATTTATTTATTTATTTATTTTCTTTTTAGGGATTTATTTTTAATATTAAAAGATCCAACATTCAAGATCTGGATAAGCTATACATTCCTGTTATTTGTAAATTTCTTCTAATCTTTTGTTTATATCAAATTCTAGTTCCTGAGATCTTCCTATATACAACCAACCCCAGATAATGTATCAATAAAATACTATTTTTGTTTATGCTTATTAAGTACATTATAGCATACTCAAATAACAGTTTCTAGAACAAAAGAGAGAACATTAAGGTTTTCTTCATATAAATTACATGCCAGCACACTACCACACACATGGATATATAACACACTGCAAACTCATATACACTGTACATTCACGAGTCCCTCCACATACATGCACACCCAGCCACACACCACACCTCTGATGCCCCAACACACTCTATTTGCTGTGACTGGCAACCTAGGAAGGCGATTGGAAACAAGTGTGGTCAGCCTAGACCCTTCTCATCCTTGTGAATGACCCCTGTCTGAGTCAGGCCATGCCCTGTTGCCTCCTATATCAGACGTGAAAACAAAGAGCAAATGGATGTGATCTCTGATCACCATGAGCTCATGAAGCCCATACTGTGTTTTCTTCTCTGTCTTCATCAAATACAATGAAGAAAGTGCAGAGTCAACAGGTTCTCCTCTAGTGAACTTGCCTGAGCTCCCACTCCCTCCTGGCAAAGCTCCAAAATCGTTCCTAACCTAATTATCACTCCTTAACCAGAACAAAGTGCTCCATCACGCCGCAAACCTCAGCAGATCCCTCCTGGATTGCTTTCTCTTCCTTATGCAAAACCTATACTTGAACCAAGAAATAGTTGTCAAAACAGAGCAAGGAAACCCCATGCTTGGAAGAGTGGAGGGACAGCACAGAAGAGGAAGATTCTGGATGAGATGGAATGATACAGTAACTGGGGAAATGAGTTTAGGTGTGTCAGCATCAGTGAGACTGGCTCAGGATAGGGCAGGCTTCAGAGCTGTTTTACTTAGGGTCATTGTGAGTCGTGGGTGACTCCATGGTACATAACAGCAAAAACAACCTATTCCTCTAAGAAGTTTTGGTGGCATGAAAGCAATGTGAGCTGAAAGGTTGGCAGTTCAAATGTACCAGCTGCTTTGCAGGAAAAAGATGGATTGTCTCTTCCCATAGAGATTTATAGCCTTGGGGACCCAAGGGACTTGATGACAGTGGGTTTGGTTCTTTTGGGTTTGTTTTTAACCTGCCTGAAATCAATCACACTGGCTCCTCTGAGAAGGAGCAGGCATGACAGTTGACAAGGTAAATGGAAAGAGAGATGCTATCCTCCATCTCTCTTGGGGGCTAGGTGGCAATGTCTATGTCTTAGTTTAGGATAGCCCCGAAGCAGAGCTGAGACAAGGATTCCAGTGGAAGTAGTCTTATTTGAGATGTTATAACAGAAAGTACCAGCAGGAATGAAAGAAGTGAGTCAGGGCATAAATAGAAGTCAAAAGAGGGTGTGTTGATGAACGATTGTCATGGGCAATAGGAGTCCAACCGCACTGGGAGCCTCTGGAAGACACAGTTCAAAGCTGACTCTCCTGAGGAGCAAGGAAGATAGTTTCCCACCAGCTCTCATCCATGGTTTGTGTAGCTGCACCCTGAGAACTCACTCCCTACTACTTCCAACCAGTCCCACAGCTCGAATAACGAATGGGCCAGACAAGGACAGCACCTGAAACACCCAGCGCAGCAGAGCTCTGTCTGTGGGTTACCCTGTATGTCTCTCCTAACCAGAACTCTGCCCTGCTGAGTAGGATCCTTGTTTCCAGTGGTACACAGTTTTTGTACCATTTGAACACTAAACACAGGCCCACAACTTAACCTGGCACCCAGAAGAAACAACAGTAATGTGTCCCAATGCCAGAGAAAAAAACCAGGAGGGGTGGGCTTTCCCAGAGGCATTTTGCAAGGGGAAGGGACATAGGAATTCATCAGCAAGCTAACTTTAGAATGTCATGAGACCTCTCTCCCTGAGATTGATTGACGGAAGACTGGCACCCTCTCAACTGTCACCTTCGTGTAGGCAGAAAAATAGCCCTATGCCATCCCCACCACCACACACAGAGTACACCTCTCGTAGCCCTGCTGGTTGAGGAAAGAGGGGAGGTGCATGAAGGACTTGGGTCCCTGTCCCCTTCTCCCAAGCTCTTCTGCATGCAACAGCTACCTCCACCCAACTGCCTCCTCTCTCTCTCTCTCTCTCTCTCTCCACACACACACACACACACACACACACTCACTCCAGAGTTAAGCACTCAATTGTTGCCAATAATAAGAACAGAAGACAAATGAGATGGAAGACTGAAAGCAGTTGCTTTCACAAGTGTTTAATTTTTCAGAGTCTGGAGACCTGCAGAAAGGCGGGAAGTCCCTAGGACTCTTCTTCTTCTTCTGTCCTGGGTGCAAGATTCTGAAAAAACTCCTTGATTGTTTGGCCAATTTTCTCGATCTTTCTGCCGATCTTCTCTCCACCCCTCCGGAGTAATCCACCCAGCTTCCTAAGAGCGGAGGCGCGCTGGGGCTGTGCATCAGGAAGAAACAGACTCCTTGGAGGGGCTGGACTCAAGCTGAGGCTCTTTTTCATCTAGACTTCCCCTTTCTGGGGCACCCCAGAAGCCTGGGAGCCCAGTTGACCCTCTATATGTAACTTTTGGAATATGTAGTTGAATTCCTGTACCCCCAAAAAGATGCTTAAACTGAGGCCAGGAGATGGCTCAGGCCTCCCGAGTCACACAGCTAGCTCATCTCTAGCAAAGCAGGAGTGAGAGTTCATCCCTCTGAGGAGTGGTTCTCAAACTTTGGCAGGACGAACACTAGATAGAGGGTTTATGAAAATGTAAACGGTTGGACTTAGAATCTGATTCAATAGGTAAGAGTGGGCCCTAACAATTTACATCTCTAACAAGTTTCCTGGTGAGGGCCAGAGGGAAAAAAACTGCTCTGAGGTATTGTAAAGCCCACTTGGAGAGATTGGAGGGTTCAGGTTCAGGTTGAAAAAGGAATCCAAAGCAAAACAGTCTTCTCTCTCCTGGGTGAGGTAGTGAAAAATTGGTCCCAAAGGTCTACCCCCTTCCATCTCCACCTCCATTGGGTCTTGTAGCACAGAACAACCCGCTCACCTCATTGCAGGTGATGTCAAAGGAGCCTGTGACTTGGTCCAGGGTGACAGTCCCCACACACTGCTTCACCAGCTGGGAAGGGAGGCTTGAGGTCAGAGTGGAATCCCAATCTCATCCCAGTAGCCTCCCAGCCCCGTCCCAGTGGCTGGAAAAGTCTCCTGAGGACTGTTGCTCGGTTCTAGAAGCACTACCAGTACCCCCAGATCCCAGCCTCACCCCATTCTCCTTGAAGGCACATTTCTCTGGGTTCCGTCGCGTCCTCCTGGGGCACACTGTCTCCTTCACCGTGAAACTCACAGGTTTTGGGGTGTCTGGGTTGTCATCCTGGGCAGGAGCCAGAAGTAGAGGCACCCAATTCAGGCTCATTCGTCCTGAACATGGTCAGTGTCTCCCTCCTTCCCAACTTACAAAGAGAGCAGCCTTTCAATGGTGCCTTCAATGCGAGGCATGGGACTTGGAGCTGGACAAAGGAAATAAGATCGAGCCCATTGCTGCCTTTCACAAAAGCCCAGTGAGTGGTAGCAGAGCTGGATAACTCCCACTCTGAAGTAAGGGAAGGGAAACCAGGAGTAAAGACATTAAAAAACAAACAAACAAACAAACAAAAAAAAACACTTAAGGCTTACCAGATCTCTTCCTTGTATGAAAGGTAAACAGATATAAAGGATACAGAGGCAATGATCTATCTTTGTCCCTAGAGCTCCCAGAACCCTCTAGGGGAGTAGGAGCAATTCCACACAGAGAAGGGATTTTAAGGTCAGAGGCTCTCGTGCCAGTTCTGAGGAAGCTTCCTGCAGGAGCCAGGACCACCTTAAAGGGTCATGTGTCTTCCTGGCAGGAAGTACAGTGTGAAAGGGCACTGGACATGGAACTAAGAGTGACCCAATCTGGCCAGCACAGAGTTCCCACCACTCACTCCACTGGGCTCCGGGTCCAGCTCGAGGAGGCGGTACAGACTGGCATCTGAGGACCGCTGGTTGAGGCCATCCACAGCACGGAGTACAGCCTGCTGGTAGGTGTAGGTCTGGGGTGCAGCAGGAGGTACCACCAAGCCCAACAGTAGCAGCAACAGTGACCACTTTGGCCACAGGAAACGGCTGCCCCTGTGGGTCGCCATGGTCCCCAAATCAGCTTTCCAACAGCCAACGGGAGAGTCCTTTATGCTCAGCCAGAGTCTGATGCAAAGACCCAATGGGGGCCTTCCTGATCCGGCCCCCACTGGCTACCTGCCAGGGTGTGGGCTGGAGGTTGCTTCAACTGTCATGTTTCTTCACAGGTCTTGGTGGGCAACAAAGACTGTCTGTGCAAGGCGAAGGAGGGGTTTCTCCATCTCCCTAAGAAAGCTTCTCCCAAACCTCACAGGGGAGTTTCCTAGCCTGGCTTGCTTAAGAGGATTGAGTCCCCCAAAACAGAAAAGGAGCCAGACATCCAACTCACATCCTTCCACCTCTGTGGGCCCCTTAGGAATTAGGGTAATGGAGTGTGTTCACCTCTAAACACCCAGTTCTAGGCATTACCTGGCACACAACTAATATTTGATGAATGAATAACAGTAACCTCCTCCACCACACACCCACCCCCAGAGACTTTCTAACACTCACCTAGTCTCAAGGAACCAGTTGTCTAAGGTCAAGGGCACACCACCCTATTGTCTGGCCCCAGCCCTCCGCAAGTTCTGGGGCTCAGTTTCATCTGTTCCCTTTTCTTGGATACTTCTCCTCTGCCTTTATCAGTTAAAAATGAACCCTGAAGGAGCTTTGGTGGCCTAGTGACAAGACGCTGCACTGCAATCCCAGAGGTACATGGTTCAAATCCACCAGGTGCTCTGCTGGAAAAGGAGGAGCAATTTCCTCCTGTACCAGTCAGATCCAATTTGACGGCACACACACACACACACACACACACACACACACACACACACACACACATTTTAAAAAAATGAACCCTGGCCCCTTCCCACGCTCCCCTCTCAGAAGTCAGGCTTGATGAAGGGTCATGTACGTAAACTGACCCCTCTTCGTTATATTCTCTCAAACTAAATACCAATGCAGACGAGCCAGCTTCCCCACACATGTACACATACACACACACACACACCACATCACACACACACACACACACACACACACACACACACACGCACACTCCCTGGACCTGCTCTCCTGATTTACCCCCTGCCTTTTCTGCGGCTCCTTCCCCTTCTTTGTTCAGGATAAGCTTGTGTCCCCCACAGAATTTATGTTGTACTTCCTAACTTCTGTGCCTTGGTGATAGTTCCATATCTTTGTGATGTTAAATAGGCAAGATTAAAAAAAAAAAAGATTAGTGTCAATTGCATCTTAAGTACATCTCTCTATTTTATTTATTTTTTTTTTTTAGTGTACATGAAGCTTTCAGTGTTTAACTTAATACAAGGTGAATGTTCATTCATCTTTTAGGTCATTGAACCGAGGCTCGGTACCCTAAACATATCGTCAGCTTATGTTCTCTCTACTTCATACACCTGACTAGAGAAATGTGACTGCTGGGGGTCGGCAGTGTAGGGTCACAAAGAAGAGTTCAAGGTTCTCTCTGTCTCTGTCATACGGTCTCTGAGTAGCCTTTCGTCTGAGTCATTCTCAATCTATCTTCTCCATCTGGCCAAAGGGATGATAAAAGCCCCAGTCCACCGTGACTGCCGCTCTGCTGGTTACCAGCTGCTCCTAATGACCTGGACTTCCTCTTTGCAGGCGCTGGGGGAACGTGGAGTGCGCAGAGGAGGCGTTGGAGGACTAGCGAGCAAAGACCTCGAGCCTCCGTTCTCTCTATTTTATTGTGATGTAAGCTAAAGTTTACAGAGCAGATCATTACTCCATTCAACCACTCATACAGCTTTTGTCCTATGACACTGATTTTAATCATCCCACTGTATCATCTCTCTTCCCACTGTCTCTCGGTGCTTCTTTCCATTCATCTTCTCCCTCACTACCCTCTGAGCTTTATCCCTGAGTAAACACGATCCTTGTGATCCTGTGTGGTAAAAAGGAATTGGAAGACACAGAAGAATTTCATGAAACAACATATGAGCAAGAGCCTATGGTGATGAAAGAAGAAGTTCAGGCTGCTTTGAAGGA